TTCTCCGAGGCACCGTTAACGAGTTATTAACGAAAAACGGTGACCAATGAGAGGCGAGCTCGGCTGGCGCGAGGCGACCGAGCCCATGGGCGGAACTGGGCTTCGCGCGCTGGTTGGCTGGGCCGCCTCGCGTCAGCCGTACTCGATTCTTATTGGTCACTGTTTTTCGTTGATAACTCGTTAACGGTGCCTCGGAGAACATTTTTGTAAAGGAAGAAGCTGCTTCAAATGATCTAAGGAACCCGCCATTTGCGGATTGCGAGACATTTTTGGGACACGCTGTATATTAATATTTATTATAAATATTATTATATTATAACGTTGCCACGTCATTTTACCATCTTTACAGTCAAATCTTGCGCGAACAACGTACACTTATTTTAGCGACATTCGTAATCAATTTTCTTCGAAACCTGTTCAAAGATGCCCGGAACGAAAGGTTGGTCCGAGAAAGAAAATTATTCACATTAATAATTATTCACAACGAAATTATGTCTGTCGCACAAAATGAAGACCAACAAGCATGCTCGTCGAGACATTGTAACCTTATAACGAGATCGTGCGAGAAAAATAACGAGATAATTCGGTGCAATCTGTGCGGATACGGTCGGTAAGAAATGGGTTCACGGTGGAAAAGAATTCGTTTTGCCGGGATTAACTGTGAAGTTACATGCAAATGGGTTGCGCTCGCGTGTGAGAAGGGCAGCAGGAATGATAGGTCATGAACGAGATGAGTGTCTTCATTTTCAGTTAAAAAGGATCTCGGCCGTGATGCAACATGCTCGGCGCAATGCTGTATGCAAAAGTTTCCGCACCTCTTTCGCTGGGGGAGCGATATGGTTCAATAACAGGTTTAGTCACTGATTAAACAGGGAGCAGCGCCTCGCACGAGATCAGGCTTTCGATATCCCTTGTTCCTGGTACGATGGGAACGAACGCGCTGACAGATGAGTAAGCAGCCACCATCGCGAGCGGAACCGCACGCGTCCGCCTCGAGTCGCTGACTTTTTTGGGAATAGGGGAGACCGAGGTCGAAGGTAACTGCAGTCAATTCTCCCGAATTTGTCCTTCGGATTGCAAAACTAGAATGGACAATTTGGGAAGAGGAGATACGATTATTCGAGCCTCGCGACACGTTCTTATAATCGCCGATTCTTGATATATAAATGAAAAGCGAAGTGCAAGGCTCGAATAATTATTATAATAAATTATTCGAGTCTTATTCGAGCCTCGTGACACGTTCTTACAATCGCCGATTCTCGATATATATATGAAAAGCGAAGTGCAAGACTCGAATAATTATTATAATAAATTATTCGAGTCTTATTTCTCGAATCCTCGCGCCTCGTTTCTATAATTGTCGACGATCGGCATAAAAATGAGCCGCGAGGCTCGAATAATCGCTTCTCCTCTTCCCAAATTGTCCGTTCTCGTTCACAAGCCGAAGGAAAATTCGGCAGAATTTACCGTAATCGGTTTTACTCTGATCATTCTAGGCGACTTTTACGCGACTACTGTCAAAGTTGGAATTCACCGCGCGTTCGGTGCAAAATTGTAAAATGTTCTGCGGAGAACAGATATTTTCTCGAGGTGCAGCGACGATTTCGAATCGTTCGATGCAATAGCTTCTCCGAAATCGTGGCAACAAGCTGCAAAGACATTCTGCTTACAAATAATATCACAAGTAGGCTTTGCTTTGCCGATTTAAGCAACTTCGGCTGAAAACTTCGCAGCAACGGTCTCGAAACTCCGGTCGAAAAATGGGGCTCGTTTTGTTGTCACGTTTTGATTAAAGCGCGGATACGTTTCTTCGTATTCGATACATTTTCTATCGAACAGAAGCATCTTTGTTAAAAGCTTCAAATTAGAAAGCTCAATAGCTTCTTTGGATTGAAAACAGATCGATACCTGCGTCCGGAATTACTTACGTTCATATCTGATATTTTACATCGATAAAACTGATACAATCTGAAGGAAAATTCTGGGAATTTACTGTAATTTCAATCGAGATCAGTCGATATCTCCGATCGGCGAACGCGTTCTAACATTCTCGATCGAATGCCTATGCTTTTCGATCGCGTTTTGACCCGTGAACCGACCTTGCAATCGTTTTAGGCACTTTTCTGCGACGCGTGCGCGGTGCTCGCGGTTTCACGAAACGCGTACTAATGGACCATTTCCAAGTTGTCACGGGGAACGAGGGCTTCTCCCTTCTGTCACGATCGGGGCACCTTGTTACCGATGATTCATGGCGGCTCGAGCGTTCGAAGCGTTCAGCTATTAGCTTTACTGGCCTGGCGCCCGAGCTTCCGAGCAATATTTGAGCCGTTTATTTTGAAAGTGGCATAAGCCACTTTGTTTTTAAGTCGATATATTTAAGGGACTCTGTTTTAACGCGATTAAAAATATGGATGCTAACTTGTCTCGCAATCCGGGAATGAGAGGTTCCTGAGTTTATTCGAAGCAACTTTTTCCTTGGCGAAAATGCAATTCGTGGCTTCCTTTGCGAGTTATTAACGAAAAGTAGCGACCAATGAGAGGCGCGAGACGGCCGAGCTGATCAGCGAGCTTCGTTGGACCATTTTGGAAGACAAGATGCGATTATTCGAGCCTTGCGTCTCGTTTTTATAGTTGTTGACGATTCAGTTCTCTTCTCAAATCCTGCATTTCTG